AGAGACAGACAACCAAGCACACTCACATTCACACCTACGGACAATTTAGAATCACCAATTAACCTCAACATGTTTCTGGACTGTGTGGGAGGAAGCCGGAGAACCCAGAGAGAACCCACGCTGCACGGGGAGAACATGCAAACTCCACGCAGAAAGATTCCGGTTCCCCCACCGGGACGCGAACCGGCAACAGTGCAACAGTGCTAACCAACTGCGCCACCCTGCAGCCTTTGCTCTAACCAGATTCTGTAAAACAATAGAAATTCTCTTCTCGGCATAATCGTAAAGCAATTAATGATTCTCCTGCAACCAACAGTCATTCACTTTTCAGCTTCACTTTACAGAGCCGACAGGAGATCAACATAGAAAACATCAAAATAAAACATCTGTAGCAGCATTTTTTTCCAGGATTGGTAACACCTGTGAAAAATGTTATGCATGTTAAATTCAGCTTTTTTTCAAATGTTTAAAAAAAATAAATAATCGAAGAAATGATTTATGATTAATGGCATTGTAACAGTGTCATACAGAACATATGACAGTTCAGAGTTCTCTCTGCTTCTATCAAAGGTTGTGTTGTTTCCAAGGTGCTGGACTTTATAATGCAGTGAAAAATTAGCCTACAGTGAGGAAAAAAATTTGACAGAAACAAAAAAAAAATCTCAAAAACACCCAGGAACTGCCTGGTATTCAGATGATTAATCAATTATCAAAAAAACTGCAGATTCATTTAATAGTTAACAATTAATAGATTAATTCTTGCAGCTCAATTGTACAGTAATTCATGTTCCACAGAGGATGAACCAGACTGACTGTGGCTTTTTCTTTAGCTCCACAATCACTATTTTTCTTACCTGTAATCAAAGTAGCAGAGGAACCACTGCTGTCAGCATCCGTACGTTCATGTTGTTCTTCATGTTCTCTGTCTGAGTAGTCGTCCTCCACGTGGTCCATCATCTCCCCAAACTCTCCATCGCTGCTGTGCTCGTTCAGACAGGTGTCTTCCTTCTCCTCTGTTGTTGCGTCTTTTCCTTCTGTTATCACAGGCTTTGCCGCAGAGCCATTTGAGTCACGATCGCCATCGTTTTCCTCATTTCTGACATCGTCATCCGTGTCTATGTCCATGTCAAAGTCCACGTTCATGTCCACGTCGTCGTCGCTGAAATAAATGTTGGTTTCTTCTGCTTTGTGACGAGTCGCCGTCTCCTCCGGTGTGCTGACGGCAGGTTTCTCTGGCATGTTGTCCGAACGGTCGTCTTTCTCTGCTGCGTTCACCTCATTGGTTTTATCGTTGTTCTGCTCGTTTTCAGTCTCCTGCTTCTTCTTCCTGCCTCGGCCACTTTTACTCGAGGAAGAAACCCCACTCTTTCTCCTCGCTTTTGAAAAGAAGCCTTTGGAGGAGGACCGACCTGGAGGAGATAAGAACAGGTACGTAAGAGGAGCAGCTACACTTTACTTGTTCACTGTGTTTTCAGTTCATCACCACATGTCACTCTTGTGTTACAGATTGTGTTGCCAATAAAAAACACAGTAGTTTGTGGCTGCAATGTGACTGAAAATGACAAGAAGAAAAACCCCACGACAAACACAGGTCAAAGGTGAGTTGGTGTCTATTACACACCGAGAGAAGCTCCTGATTCTTCCTTGTTCTCCTCAGCGTCACCGTTTCCAGGACTGTTTGGATCCACAAATGGCACCAACTGATCTTTAAAGGAAAGTAAGAAACACATGCATGGATTTAGTTTAAACAAAAAGACTGACAATGAATGTCTTTTGCACATGTTGCGATAGATATTGTTTTCTGGTGTTGAACACTGCAGGAGACGAAAAGGAAAAAGAAAAAGACTGCGACTAAGTGAACATGGACAGAAACATCAACGGCTTCAGAATGTCTAAAAGATCTTTGCAAATGTTTTGAGGAAAGAAATGAAGCTCAAAGACAAGCATTTGTGTTAAATTTCTGGAGCTGCAGTCAACCAAAGAAAACGCTGGCGATATTTCAGACAGTGCAGTACCAAAGTTTTACAACAAAGTCTGCAGCCACCAACGTAACATTAAGAAACAGCTTTTATGTCGAAACACAGTTTTCTATTCAGCCGTCAAGAATATATGAAGAGTTCATTTACAAAAACAGGTAACTCCATTTTTGTAGATTGTCAGAAAACTTCTTTTTTTGTTGTTTGCTTGAGATAATATCAATCAAACTGAAGTTGAGTGATTTGACTCAGTAGAAATGACAAAAATAGAGACAACTTAAGCTCGATTAATATTGTCTCAGGTAGACGATGGAAAAGTGGATTTTCTGAAGGTTTGTGAAGATGGAGTTATCTGTTTTTGCAAACAAAACTCTTCATATATTGGATTGATTTTAATAACTTTAATGTACTTGAAATGTTTATTATGTAGGAAAATCTAATCAGATAGTTACTCAGTATTGGCAGATGTCAAATATTAAGTGACTGTGTTCATTTTGGGGACAGAAGACTTGATGGAAACATCCCTAATACTGGCCGACCAGTTGACCTGGAGACTGCAGCTCTTCACATTTGATGTAAACATAACTCTTGCTTGAACCTTTAGGTACTTAAGTAGACACATACCTGGAATCTCAATTTCCTCAAGAGATTTTCCTTCAAATTGTTCATGAGTCCCATTCTCCATTGCAGACAGTAGCTCTAAGAGTTTGGCAATGTCAGCAGCTGCCTCTGCCGACTGGTAATAGTCCCTGTCGGTCTGAATGTTACGGCCCAACAGCTTGGCGAGCTCAGCAAGTTCATCATTCGTGAGGCTGAGAATCTTGAAAATTCTAACAATGTGATTCTGAAAATATATCGACCGGAGGTCCTCCTGGCTTTTGGCACCACAGCGAGTGGTGAAAATGCAAACACACTGTTTTGCATGGTAGAAGCTTGAGCTTCCAGCAACAGGTCTGGCAAACAAAAACGGATTGCTTTCAGGCACACCACATGTCTCCCTCTTGTTCACAAGCAGCGTTAGAGCTGAGAGCAGGTCAGACGTCAAAGTAAGAGCAACTTCTTTGCCAGTGTTGCTGGCAACTTTGATCGTCACTGTGTTCTTGGACAGAATTTGCTCGAACCGTGGCTGGGAGACGGGAGCAGTTTCCTGAACTTCAGTCTCAGACCTTTCCTTGAATGACTGGACGGTTATTCTTGAAACGTCCCCCAGGTTTTTGTTAAAGATCGCCACATAGGCAGCCGTCACTCTGAGAAGGGCAGTGTAGACCGGGGAGCATGCATACATCATCAGACTTTCGACTGCAGAAGCTGCCGTGTTGTCCAGGCAATGGTAGAAGAGCTGCACATCCTGTATGAACGGTATGGTGGACGGACTGGTGACTTTTGGCGGTGTGCCTGATGAGACGGTGGGCCATTCTTTAGCACACAGTTTCATGAACGTCTCGGCTTCTTGTACCGTCTCTTTGTCAGCGTCTTGTCTCAAAGCTCTGCCGTATTTAATGTCAGCAATCCTCCTGAGGGAAATCCCCAAGCTAAACACAAGGCTCGGCCTGTTGCAGGACTTTGAGACTTCATTGAAACCAGAGAGCTCTTGGACGGCTTCGACAACTTTGCTGAAGTTCTGGGGCTTGGTGGCCTCTTCAAAGCTGCTGATCGACTTTTTCCTCAGTGTCAGCAGGAGTCTTGCCATTTGCCTCAGCTTCTGATTGACGTACTGATATGTTCGTTTCTCTTCCCTCAAGTAGTACAGACACTGTGCCATCTGTAGTAAATAAGGATCATTCCACACAACAGAGCCGACCTCATCTTTCTTCAGCTTTTTTAACATCTTCTTCACACCTGATGAGATTTGTTGGGGGTCCGTTAACCCTGTTGCAGCAACCAAAGATAAGATTTGAGTTCTGCCACCTGTTGGAGGCTTTGAGAACATCTTTGAAGGACAGTTCTGCATGTGTCGCCAGATTAGCTTACGGGCATACATGCGTGTGCAATGTATGCAAGTTGCCACTTTTTTGTTGCTGTCTAGTTTTCTTCCCACTTTCAGCTCTCCACTGCGACTCTTCAACACCTCTTGGTTGTGTTCGTAATTTCCTTTGTTTCGTAACTTTTCTATTATCTTTCTACGTTCCAAGCTCTTTCGGGGTAACGCGTACGCTTCCGCGATTTCAGGCTCGGCTTTTCTGTGGGTGAAAAGGTGACGAGCAAGTTTAGTCTGAGGTTTTCCGCAAACATAACAGAAATTCCTGTTAGTGCAGAGAGGGTCTTTGGGCTTTTCATCAGCTTCAGAATCATCAGTGGTGTCCTCCTCCTCCTCCTCCTCCTCCTTCTCCTTCTGCATGGACGCATTACCGGAAGCATACTCTGAGGCATCTTGGCTGTTCCACAAATCCTGAATTGGCTCATCGTTGTCGCTGGTAGAACTTTCATCACTACTCGGCTCGTCCTCACAGACATAGTCTTCATCGGAGGAGTTTTCTGCACAATTGGATGCTTCTGCCGAGTCCTCAGCCTGGAATTATGAACAAGCAATTTTGTACAACTTGCATAATCAAGCAATAACAACTCTAGGTACATTTTTGAACTTCTCTGCCTCTCAGATCCTCAGAGCTGTTGGCTTTCCCATGATCAAGGTTGTAATTAAGGAGAGATTTGCCTCTGCAGTGGAACAACCTTCCTCATCTGATCCCTTTCCCTAACCCTTTCCTCTACTGAAAATTTCAAGAAAAATCTAAAGACATACATGTTTTAAATGAGTTTTGGCTGCTCTTAGCAGTCTTAATATTTTTGGAATTTATATTCATTTTGTTTGAGAAATTCTCAGTTTAACTGTAGCAACTGGACTTGCTTGAGTTTCTTGACTAACTAGTCGGTCAGAACTGATGAAGCCTCTTGGATTAGAGGTGAAACGTCTGCAATAACTCCGAGAATAACTATGACCTGGATAACTGAGAATCCTCACAGACATATTTATTTGAGAAACTGATCTTACAAGCTGGAATCCTTTTTACCCATTTTAGTAGTTTATACTACTTTACTTTGTTTTACACATTGGTTTTACAAGTCTCAGCCTGTCTAGATGTCCATCCATCCATTATCTATACACCGCTTAATCCTCATTAGGGTCGCGGGGGGGCTGGAGCCTATCCCAGCCGACTTAGGGCGAAGGCAGGGGACACCCTGGACAGGTCGCCAGTCTATCACAGGGCCACACTTAGAGACAGACAACCAAGCACACTCACATTCACACCTACGGACAATTTAGAATCACCAATTAACCTCAACATGTTTTTGGACTGTGTGGGAGGAAGCCAGAGAACCCGGAGAGAACCCACGCTGTACGGGGAGAACATGGAGACTCCACACAGAAAGATTCCAGTGCCCCCACCGGGACGCGAACCGGCGACCTTCTTGCTGTGAGGCAACAGTGCTACCAACTGCACCACCTTGCAACCCCTGTCTAGATGTTTGCACATATATTTTATGCTGCCTGATAACTTGTACAGTAGTTTGGTCTACTCAGGTTTTTATAAACGTGTATAAATAACGTATATAAACATATATAAACATACATTTGGCAGGGGAAGAAGCCAAGGATAAAATTCCAATCTCTTCAATTGCCAAAAAACAAAGGAGGACTGGCACTCCATTACCTAAAAGATCATTACATGTCAGCCAGGTTGAGGATCATACTCTGTTGGTGTAATTTGGATTACAAGGCAAGATGGAAAGAAATTGATGGAGATCATGGAGCTCATTTGGCTGGAAGTGTCTAATTAGTTGAGCACAATTAACACATGTAAGTTCAGGGTTTGACTCTGGTCTGGTCAACTCTGCTCTCTTTGGTTTGCTAAATGTTCAACTTATTCAACAGCATTAAAAGACAATTATAGGCAAAATTGAACTGATGATATTACAACTTAGTATTGCAAATTAGCATTTGGGATCATCTTGCCATTAGCATGAACTAAACAATTAAGGGACAGAAAACATTTGATTGTTATTAAAGCAGCTTTAACATCATCATAAAACACTCAGCTCTATCTGACTTGTCCGAGCTAAACTGCCTGGTGCCAACAAACTGAAATCAACACTGACTTTTTCATCCACTGGAGAGGAAGCATCCAAGTCTGTCAGTGACGTGTTCTGTTCTTCACTGGTTTCCTGTAAACATAAAGAAGACAGAAAAGTCACAAAGATATATAAAAATCATGGCACGAGTATCACAAGTTCTCTTAATCTGCTCTGCAATGGAAAACCATTTTTATTTACAAAGGCAACAATCAGTGCAACACTTCAGGTATAAATTCTACTGCAATAGTTCATTAATTGTTGATATTGAATGCGAATCAACTGCTACTGGTCACCCCAGAAATGAGGCTAAAAACTGAAGGTGACAGAGCCGTTGTGGCCCCGAGGCTCTGGAACAACCTGCCGCTCTGCAGGATCGATCAAGGCTTTTAAAGCTTCTCTAAAGACACACCTCCTCTCGCTGGCTTTTAATCAAGTTTAAGTGGACTTTTGGCAAAAAATTACATTTAATTCTCATTAATTTTATTCTATTTTATAGCACTGTGTTATGTATTTTAGCGCTATTTATTGATTGTAATTGCTGCATTCTATTGATTATTTTGATTTTAATGTGTACAGCACTTTGGTTGTTTTAAATGTGCTTTATAAATAAAGTTTGAGTTGAGTTGATACTGTGACAACACATTTTAATTACATTTTTATTGAGGTTTTGTTTCGGATGTCGTTATACTGGGCATTTTCTGAAACTTTGGAGGACAGAATAGTAAAATATCTGAACGCATTTCTGCAATAGATGTCAACAGTTGTACACAACATAATTAGAAAAAAAGTACAAATAAATTCTCTCAAACACAACAATAAAATCACAACCAAAACGAGGCATGTTACATAAAATACGTACCGTTGAGCGCCACGAGTAAGAGCACTTCCCGTAGTTGTAAGTTATCTCTTCGCCTGCTGCTATTTTCTTCAGTGCAAACAGGCACAAGCGTGGCTTCCCCTTATAAACCATCTTCCTCACTTTGCAGTTGGGACTTAAGTGGTCGTCATTCACCAGCCTGCCGAGGCTCGCGTCCTCTGCTGAGGCATCGATGCTGCAAAATAAATCAACTTCATTAAAACCACTGCGTGCATGGCTGCATTTTATCACACTGACTGAGGCTGATGGCAAAACATAACAGTCGCAGACTACTGAGCCTTATTTGTAAAACGAAAAAACGGTTGAACGGTTTATTTTATTTTATTTTGCCGGACATGCACAAGAAAAGACAACACATACACAGGATGGAGATTTTTTTTTTTTAAGTACAGTTCACTTGATTTTAAGGGTTTTTTGTTGTTTTAATATCAGGTTTTGTCTTCAATGTGAACCAACATACAACAGATCGTTTAGAACAACAAAAAAATCTCCTTTAACGACCAAACAGAGAAACTTACCGCCAGTTTGTTCCCTTCCATGAAAAGTCAAACAAATAGTCGTTCAGAGCGTCTCTGCGTTTCTTTTCCTGGGTTTCTTCGCGAGTTGTGATGTTCCCTCGAAACTCAACAACGAAGGCAGACGGTTCGATGGATTTGTGGGTGAACACACCTCTTCCTAGCACAACATAAATAGGAGTCCAGGTATTATATGATCTTCCCATTTGTAACATCCAAAAACAATATATTTTTTTTGTGGCTTTCCTCTTTTAAATGGTTATGGCAGCATAAAAAATTTTATAGCCTCCTCTGTAGTTAAAATGTCAATCCAGCCAGTCAGGGGAGTGCTGATTTCTGACTGTTTGGTGCATGTAGTCTCTATGTTAAACATAACTGAGTGTTGGTCATTAAAAAGTGACCAATCATTTCTGCTCCTGCCCTGGATGAAATGAGTCGGCTATAATCAATAACTCAATGTTCAAATTTGAGCTTTCTTCATGCAACAGTTAAGCGCAAATCAATGTATGTTAAGGGTTTTGGATGCAAAAGCTCTGCAAAAAGCCAAAAATCTATTTTAAAAAACAAATATCAGAGCTCAGATATCTCTTTGGATTTATGATTTTAGCCAGCTAACGTTACATAAGCCAGAATTATTTGAGTTACATACAAAAATCGAGATCCTTTATGCAAAGAATATTTTTTAGGTGCATTTAGCGGTACGCATTTTTGCAGTGAGACCAGAAACAAAAGGAGAGAACAGTCCCCTGCCAATTTTTGAAGTACTTTTCCCAATACAAGAGAATATAACAGATTTTTTGAGAGAAAGCTTTGTGACCATGTTTTTTTACCATCCATTCATCTACCCAGGTCATTCCAGACATCCCTCTTTCCAGCAACACTTTCCAGCTCTTCCTAGGTGATCTCAAGGTGTTTCCAGGCCAGATGAGACGTGTAATTTTTCAAATCTCCTCTTAGTTGCCTGGAAAACCTTTAACCCTAATCAGGACTTTAGGGGTCTTTTGGGCCCCAGTCCATTTGGTTTAGGTGACAGGTATTGTTGTTTTACTTTTGAAGATTTTTGCTTTTTTTTTTTAAATATAAAAAGAGGGACGTTTGTCATGCATTTGGAACCAAAAATACATGAACTTATCAGAACACTCATTTAACATAATATAAAAGTCTAGAATGAATACAAACAAATATCTTGCACATATACTTTGTTGGGGTCCAGTGGACCCTGAAAGACCTTCTACGTATGGCAACATGAAAGTCCTGAATAGGGTAAAAGCAAGTCTTCCTGGAGGCATCATTTTTCAGATTCTGAACCACCTAAGCTGGTTCCTTTCAATATGAAGAAGCGTCTCTCCGAATGTCGGAGCTCCTCGTCTCATCCAGAAGACCAAGCCCAGCCTTTATACAGAGGAATCTAACTTGTTCAAGCAATCTCATTCAGCAGTCACTACCAAGAATTTGCGACTGGAGATGAGGGTTGGAACACAGGTAAACTGGTACATTTTTTAATCAAACCACGGCCACTGCATTAGGGACAATAGCCCCTGTACATGGGTCGCCCTACCAACCTGTTGAGCTATACGGGCGCCCACAAGCTGGTAAACATTTGCGCTTCAGTTCCTCCTCATCACGACAGTACAGTGCACACCTGCATTAACGCGCAAACTGTCCGTTTACGCCATCTGTTTATCTCACACTCTGTTTACTCATCACTTGAGAACAAGGTCCTGAGCAACCGTAAACTCCTTCATTTGTTGCAACAACTCACCCCAAACTTCTAACGACACTTTTAAATGATGTAATGCAGTGTCTTAAATAGAAGTCAAACTAGTTTTCCAGTCACATAAGTTC